TGAATGGGGACTATCTTGCGGGTAGAGAGCGAGTTAGGAGTTTTCCTTTGGCAGGTTTGGGATGCCTGTGACACATTCAGGAGAGGTGTTAAGTGGTCTCTGAAGCTCAAAGATAAGAAATATTTGGGAATTGTTGATGTACAGATTGCAGTATAAATCATTAGCCTGGAGTGGTTACCGCAGGAGACAAAGTGGAGAAGCAAGAGAAAGAGTCCAAGGACAAAACTCCAGGAGTGGGAGGAGTGGCCATGAGGTAAGAAAAGAAACAAAATGGAAGTATGTGGAGTCCCAGGGACAAGGAGAAGAAGCGTTTCAAGGAGAGAATTGCCATTTGAGTTGAGTGTGTTACTGAGAGGTCTAGAAAGATGAGGATATGATTTGGCAACATCGGCTGGTGACCTGATAAGAGTTGTTTCAGGGCAGTGGTAGAGATAGAAGACTGAATGGACCAGGTTGAAGAGTGAACGGCAAAGGGGGAAATGGAGAAAATGACGTTAACTGACTCTTTCTAAGAAGAGGTACCTGGGCGGATCTCAGAGGCAGTGTCTGATGGAGAACCTTCCCCACAGTGTGTTTTATTTTTGTTTTGTTTGTTTTTTGGGTAATCCTCATTCAAGGATATTTTTCCATTGATTTTTAGTGAGAGTGGAAGAGAGAGGGAAAGTCAGAGAGAAATATCGATGTGAGAGAAACACACCGATCAGTTGCCTCCTGCACAAGCCCTGGGCAGGGCTTGGGTTGGGGAGGAGCCTGCAACCAAGGTATGTACCCCTGACTGGAGTGGAACCCAGGACCCTTCGTTCCACAGGCCGATGCTCTATCACTGAGCCAAACCGGCTAGGGTCCCACAGTGTGTTTTATTTTTATTCGGAGCCCCTCCAAAAGTTCTTTAGGATAGTTTAAACTTAGCATTTGCCATAATAATAGCAGAAAAGGTAAGCTCAAGTTACTTATTGTCTTCCCTGGGTAAATGGGTAACATTTAAACTTTCCATCTTAAATTCTAAAATCATATATAAAATAATGTTATTTATCTTAAAGGTTTCTTAATGAAATTACATATATTGAAGATTTGCTAGATTGGTATATGGGAAGTAAACTTTTATGTCCTTGCTTTGTTGAAAATGTTCTTATTCTGCCCTTTTGAATTCCAAGTTCAAAATAATTTTCCCTCGGAAAACTCTTTAATTTTTAAAATTGTGGTAAAAGTTATCATTTTAACCACGTTTAAGTGTACAGTTCAGTGGCAGTAAGTACATTTACATTGTTGTGCAACCATCACCGCCATTCATCTCCAGAACTTCCCAAACTAAAAAAAACTCTATTCCCATTAAACACTATCTCCCCTTTCCCCCATTCCCTGCCCCTGGCACCTGCCATTCTACTTTATTTCTCTGTGAGTTTGATAACTCTCATACAACTGAAATCATACAATATTTGTCCTTTTGTGACGGGTTTATTTCACTAACATAATATCTCCTGGTTCATCCATGTTATAGCATATCAGAATTTCCTTCTTAAGGCTGAATAATACTCAGTTTTTCTCAGATTTTAAAGGCATTTGGTCCTTTTGTCTCACAAACATCAAATGCAATCGATGAAAAGTTTACTACCCAATTCTCATTTGTTTGTAAGAAATCTGGTTGTTGTTTTTTTCTCTCCAGAAGCTTTTATCTTCTATTCATACTGGTTTTTCTAAAATTTATTGAGGATATGTCTGCATGTAGGTTTTGTTAAATTTTTTTTAAAATATATTTTATTGATTTTTCACAGAGAGGAAGGGGGAGGGATAGAGAGTTAGAAACATCGATCAGCTGCCTCCTGCACACCTCCCACTGGGAGGTGCCTGCAACCAAGGTACATGCCCTTTGGCCGGAA